ATTTGATTTGTACATTTTGCAGGAAATCTTCGGAGGAAGTTTCTCCGAAGATTTCCTGCAAAATGTACAAGTTCCTCCGAGGAGCTAAGATTGAATTTGTTGGTGTTGTGACATCATTAACAAATTTAATCTTAAACGGTCCGTTTTTGATTAGGATAGTGACTTCTGTACCGAAATTCGAAAGTAGGTTCCATTGTTGAACAGCAGGTTCTATTTTCGATGGAGCTTAATTGAATTATTGAGTTCAAATCGAGAAATTAATCATCTACAAATAGTAGTTTTGTCTGTTGTAAGAGATACAGATTAGTGTTTAAATATTAATAGATAGGATCAAAATCAGAAATAGTTCTTTTGTTTGGCAGAGGCGATAACAGCAGACCCAAGCATCAAAATTCAGAATTGGTTCTAATTTAAGAGAACAGTGGAAATGTACAAGAAAAATCCGATTGGATTATTGAGAAATTAATGACGACGATAATAAATCCGAAATAGTTGATTGTTCGGTTGTCGTTGAGTGGCGATTTGGAAAATGGTTATATCTGGTGACTCAAGGTCAAGGCATTGACTGCGAGGTTAATGTTCGGGAGTTTCGAAAGAAGGAAAGTTCGTTCATCTCTCTCTCTTTCAGTTAGAGTCGACGAAAAGAGCGATTTTCTTCTTAATAAGCAAGACAACTGCGTATATATGAGTCACAGCAGACATGTTTTCGTGTGAGGTCTTTGAACCTCCCCCTGACTGTCTGGACGAAGTGTTTGAACCGGGTCGTCCGAAGGTTGCTCGAGGTTACAAGTCTGATTCCGTCTCTCCATTCTTTTGAACTCGTCGAAGACGTTGCTGCCTTTTGTTGGCCTCAAACGATCTCCTGGGAGAATTTTTTTTCCCTCCTTTTTTTCTTGGCTCATTTCTTTCGAGAAGGGAGAATCTCCTTCCTTTCTAGATTCTTTCTTCGTAGAGTCCTTCTTCTTCTTCTTCTTCTTCTCTCGTCTCTCACGATCTTGACACTTTAGTCAAGCCTTCTGGATAGGAAAAAAAAGGGATCGTATCATTGAACTTGTATACCGCGTGTCTTCGAACGGAAATCCTTCCTCTATAAAGAAGTCTGGATGGTTTTTTTTTTCATTGCTAAATGGCTTATAAAAATTGAATGTGTATTTAAATTTAGTATGAACGAGAGGCGGAGAGAAATGGGAAAAGAATTGTCACCGGGGGAAAAAAATGGGGGTTTGGGTTGAAGAGGAGACGAAATTTAAAGGGAAATGTAGGTCATGCAACACCTTCTTGCGCCTAGCCTAGATGATGAGTGAATCTAGGCTGTGGAAGTGCATATAGGTATCGATCCAGCAGTGAAACACGGTGCTGCAGGCTGGCCTGGTGCACCGTTGAAACTGGGTTACCTAACCTACCCTAGACAGAAACATAGTTCCTTCTCTAGAATTGTAGACAGTCGTGAATCTACAAATACTACACTCGAGCCTGGCATTCAAGTGAGCTAGTGACGAGACAACGCCCTGTCTTTCGTCACGTCGAGTCGATTCACTACCTCGAACTTGTTGCCTTGTCCGTAAACCTCGGTCAGGGACAGAAAACTTCAATTGATGGAAAATAAAGAAAAATTCACATTTACTTCCTTATAGGAACTTGCCTCAATGGTTAAAGAAACAATTGTCTTTCCCCCTTTTCAGGTTTTCTTGTATTTCGTTCTCAAATTTGTGTTCTACAACACAGTATTTCGAGTATTCACTGCTAATCTTTATAGCTTGTCTTGTAATGTTTGACAAAAAACTAGAATTTACTCGTTTTTAAAGTTAGAAAAAAAATTCTCAGAATCGATCAGTAAATTTTTGTTTTGTTTACATTACAAGGCGACGATTGTGACTTGTCCGAAATATAAACCATTAGGAGAGAATTAGTCATCCATGAGTCATTGGTCAATATTTTTTTCCAGTTCAAATTCTGTAAAATGGTTTGAAGTTAATTTTTGTTTTATTTCTAGTCCTTTTTTTCTGCAATGTTCGTTTTTCGTAAAGCACTTTAAGTGTTTTTGTGTATGCTAACTTTTGCCACTGGTTTTATGAGAAGTCGATAAATTCTTTACTATTGCTCTAAATTGATAAGATAACAACCCGATAACAAAAGCTTTTAAAAATCAATGTAATTTGCGTGTATCAAGAATTTTGTATTTTTCTATCATGCTCACGGTGCGGTGCTTGAAAGACTTTTTAAAATTTTAACTTAAATATTTATTTTTTAAAGAATTATTCCATTCTTTATTTCTATTTTTAGTCTTTTTTATTTATAATTTTTTCTTTTTATTATTTTTTAAAATATTTTTATTATATTCTTTTATTAGTAATCGAAAGTACTTTGTAGTACTTCGAAAATTGGAAGTAAATTAGAAATACTAAAAATTTGTAGAACTGTTTCTACAGTGTACAATGGATAGTAGGCAAATTTTTTTTATTATTTCCAAGCCCTTATTTTAGTCCTTGAAACGATCGACCAAACATTCTTACGCCTTCTTAAATCGTTAAAGTAAAATATGCAACACATTAGTTATGCACATCTTCATGTGAAGATTAATTATGATTGCGAAGAATTTACGATAATTGAGATTGAAATTCCTTTTCTGATTTTATTCTTATTTTACAACTTAACAATATTCTTGTAACTTGTGGAAAAAGGTATTTTCTATTAGACTTGTAAAAAATTGTTTTGACAAGAAAAAATATTTGATGAATTATTATTATTAGAAAAATGCAATGTAGGTGCTTAAATGTAATTCAATAGATGATTAGTTTCTTACTCCAGCATCCACGCCTGTCTATGGAAATCTTGCCGTTTAATGCGCATGCGATTATACGCAGACCTGTCCACCATGCACGTCTCTTGATTCACCAAAATTGTGCAGTAACATAAAATCTGCAGTAATTTAATTACAATTATTTAAAAATGATGCGAAAGTATTTCTAAATTGAAAATTAAAGTTTTCGATTTTTAGATATGTTTTAAATTTTTGTTTCCTATATACCTTTTCAAACAAATTGATTATTCTGCTCAATTATTCTCGAGTTTTCTGCGATAATCTTTAGTGTAGGAATTAGAAAAAAGGTTTATCTGAAAACCGATAACCCTCTATTGTTTTTCATTAGCATTTCGGCCTTGAGACTTGTAAATTGGTTTCATATTCATCTAATCTGCTTGACTGATTTCACTTCTCCATTGTCAACTATTCATCCTTGACTAATTCGCATTCCTCACTGACAATTATCATAAAGAGATTATTATTCTCTTTTAATCCATTGCGAGGAGGGGGGAAATTGAACATTTCATGAGTCAGTGCAGTTAAATTTAATTTGTGTAATTAAAATTTTGTTCTAATTCTTAATTGTTTTGATCAGATAGTTTTGGAGTATTTTTTTAATTAAGAATTTATTACTTTAGTTGTTATCATTTATAATTGTCGATCTGTGATTAATGATTTATTGTTACAAATTGTCTACAAGTGATTTGTAATTAAAATTTTATTGTTGAGATTGGAAAAAAAAGGAAAAGTATGGAACTCAATCTACGGCCCTGAAAGCTGGTAGTTGCAGAATTGTTCGGGTAGGGGTCGGTTCGTAGGTCGTGCGCGGAGGGCCGACCTGCATCAGTCTACTTTGCGTCCCTGCTAAAGGGAACGCCGTAACTCGTTTGCACTTACTTTTTTTTCAAACAACAGTGAATGAAATAAAAAGTCTTGTGATAAGAAAACTCAACCTTCTAGTCGACGTAGGCGTCGCCTACCGCACTTTCTGGTGCCTTTCACCTTCTTGAAAATTATCAAGAAAAAGAAATAAAGAAACCCCTTCTTTTTAAAGTCAAAAAGAAAAGAATAACAAAAATAACAATACAATTTCCAACTATATATTGTGACTTGGATTATTGCCATTCCAAGTTTCTTTCGGGAAAAGAAAAACTTGTGCTAGTCTTTGTGATAAAAGAAATAAAGAAGTCACATTTTTACTGACGAGGAGGCATTTCGGAGTCGAGAGACGAAAGTCGTGTCGAATATATATATTTTTTTTCTTTCGCGCTTGTTTCCAGTCTGACAGCCAGAGCCGTTCTCTTCAGTACATCTCCAAAATTTGTGTTTGAAAAGTGGCCTACAGTTCTATTTTAGAGAAAAGATTTGTTGTTTTTGTGTTTTGTTTAGTGAAAGTGTTTTTTTAATACCTTTTTGAAAAATAGAAATTTTTAAATAAGTTTTCGGTGATATTATTTTCGATTGATTGTATGTGCTGTGGTTGCATTTTTCTTGGCATGGCCTATGACGTTTTGCAGTGAGCAAGGAAACAAGAGTGGAGGTGGAAGAGGGATCAGGACGCCCGCCGAGTCTTAAATATCGATTTTGGCACGGACAAGCTATAGTCCATCCACCTGAAATCCTCGAGTTATCCACGAACTACTGTCTGACAATCGTTCGTTCATTTTCTCTGTTTTAAAACAAACACGCGTGTGAATTCGAAAAACTCTCCCCCTAGTGATTTAATATTTTTAAAGAAAAAATACAAAACTCCAATTTCGTTCTCTTAGTGTAAGTGTGACTTTATGATAATCACAAAATTTCCACTCGCCAGTGTTTGTGTTTTTGTTATTGTGTGAATGTGCCAAAAAAAAGAAGAATGTGCTTTATTGTATTACTTTAGTCATTCCTCGCCCTCTACGCAGGAAAACACTCGATTAAACCATCTAATCGATACAACGCTCTACCTCCAGATCGTTCCTTTCTAGTCCCAAAAATTCTTCTTTCGTTTTTGAATAAATTGAATAATGAAGAAAACTAAATTGAATTAAGATAAAGAATAATGATGATACCGAATAGAAGCAAAAATTAACAGCAACTGTAACGGACGAGAATAAAAAAAAATCAAAGGTGGTGAAAAATTGTCAGCATGTACTTAAAATTAAGGACTTAATAAGGTTATGGTGAAGTTTAGAGCCAGTGTTGCCTTAGAGATAAAGATGAGTGTGGAGCAATGGTGCCCCGAGACTGGTTGACAATCTCCCGTTCAAGGAGGGCCGCTGCTGAAAACTGCGGAAATATGGTTTCCCGATATGGTGTTACGAAAGATGGCGCAGTGGGCATCGCGTCTATGCACTGCTTACTGCCACATTGTGGAGGACCACATCACCTGTCGCCGCATCCACAAAATCCCGCCCCTCAAATGGCACCCCATGCCCATAATCACGTGCATCCACACAATCATCAACCACCACCACCGCCAAGTCCACATGGACATTTGAATCATCTTAATCATGCACAGCATCAACTTACCATTAATATTGGACATCATCAACATCAAAATCAGCAAACGCAGCATCAACAGGCGCCGCCGCAGTACCGCATCATTACAGCGGCAGCTAGTAAGTCGAGATAAGAGAAGGTCACTAGGTCATTGATACTAAAGCTCTCAAGAATCCAGGACTTTGCATTTTGATATTTCTAGTATTTCATACTTTGCGAATGGTTATCATTTTCTTTCTAGTTTCTATGATTCTTATTTTTGTTTCTGTGGTTCGTTTTGGTTAGTATTTTTTCTCATGAGTAGTTCACAATTTTTCTAGGGATATCAAATTGAGACAGAAAACGTAGCAAAATGTTGCGATGTTGTTCTTTTTCGTTACTTTCGTTTGGATAGGTTATTATTTTTTTTCTAGAATTCGTTCGTGTCTTTAATAGTCAACTTTTGGGATTGTAGAACGGAGAGAAAATAATGTCATTGGGTGCAATTGGGATAACAGTAGAGATCAGTTCGGTAATTTTTATTTGCAAATTTTTGTACCATCTTGGATAGTAGATTTTATCAGCTTTACAATCCAGATTGTAATCCGAAACATCTTGATAGTACGGAGTACCGAAACAAAATTTTTGTTCTGTCCTGGATGGTACATTACAGATTTTACGGAATAACATCTTGATTGTACAAAGTATCAAAATAAAATTTCTGTATCATTTTGGACGGTACAAACATGGTACATCTTGGATCGGTTACAATCCGTATTGTACAGAGTAGCACATCAAAAATTTTGTATTTTTTTAAATGGTATTTTGAATAGGTTACAATTCAGATTGTATGGAGTAGCATAACAAAATTTTTTGACCATTTTGAATGGTATTTTGTCCAGTTTTTGTGGAGTAGCATAACAAAAAGATTTTATGGAGTAGCATTAAAATTTTGTACCATCTTGGATGGTATTTAAAATCAGTTACAATCCAGATTTTAAGGAGTAGCATACAAACAGATTTTATGGAGTATCATAAAAATGTTATACCATCTTTGATGGTATTTAGAATCTGTTACAATACAGATTTTAAGGAGTAGGATAACAAAAAGATTTTAAGGAGTAGCATAAAAATTTTGTACCATCTTGGATGGTATTTTGAATCCGTTAATATGCACATTCTATGCAGCAACATCTGGATTGTAAAGAAGTATCAAAACAAAGTTGTTGTGCCATATTTTTTGGTAAATTGCATCACTTATGATCCAAATTGTAACGGATTGTTACAGAGCAACATCCAGCTTGTACGGAATAGCATTTAATTAAATTTTTGTACCATTTTTTATGGTACATAGTAGCAAAAATGTCAGTACCGTCCAGCATCTGTTGTCTAGGTTGTTTGTTCGATTTTAAAATCCACTAGATGGACTTCTACTATTAAAATTTTTCTTTTTATTCAACTTTTTAGTGTTTTTACTCAACTTCTTGCTTCTTTTACTTAACTATTTACCCTTTTACTCAACAATTCACAAAATTTTTTCCAAGGACATCAAATTGAGACAAAAAAAATGTATTAAACAGTTGCTTCGGAACAATTTTTCGCAACTATTTTGATACATTTTTTTGTCTCAATTTGCAATCCTTAAATCTGTCCACTTTTGCTCAACTATTTACCCTTTTTGTTCCTTAAAAAATTTACTTAAGAATTTATATACTGTGTGACTCTTTTTGAAATACTATCTTAATAATGTTTATAGAAGAGTGTGACGTAAGTTTATTGAAATTACAGTTCACTATCTCCCAACTATTATCGCTCCATTTATTTTTCCTCAACTTGTATTATGTATAGTGAACTTTACGAGAAATTGCTTCGTGCCTGCATTGTGGACAATAAATGAGCAGCCCTCTTTTGCCATCAGTGAAAGGAACACGATTGCATCAGACTTGTACGACTTTCGAGAGTCCTTTACCTGGTTTTTGGCGAAACTTAATAATTCCTTTATTATACCTGATTTTCTCCCAAAAAAAAAAGAAAAAATATGAGTAATCTCAATTTCTTTGCGATTTTAAAGGATTATGGGTACACTAATATATTATACGTGAATTTGCATTCCCCTACTGGCTTTGTGCTTAAATCCTCTAACTATCTATTTACTTAATGCTGAAAAAAATTTTTTTTTCTAATTCCTTCCTGAGACAATGAAGTAAGAGATAAAAATTCATTCTTCTTGCTTTCTTCTTTTACAAGAAGGAATCTTTTTTAATCTTTAAAATATGCTTTTCAAGTCAACCTTGGCCGCTTCCTTGTGAAAGTAGTTTAATCTCGCTTGTATTTTTTTTTTCATTTTTATTTTTACAACAGTTGAAGAGAGACAAGAAATTGTAAATTAAATATATATTTTTCCATTGAGAAATTTTTTCTGTGATTCAATGGAAAATTGTGTAAAGAAATATTGCAAGATCCCTTTTTTATTTTTGGCACCTAACTAATTCTGACAATGCTTTTTTAATTTGGATTTAGTCTTTTATGTTTTACTAACGTACTGAAAAAAAGTGGGTGGCACATTTGTTTGAAGATAATCGTTAATTAATTTTTTATTTTTGCTATTAAAAAAGAAATTGGATGGTTTTATGATAAAAATATATGCGCGAAAGGAGCTTTTATATGCACGTGGATATCATATTATTTGACCTGAGCTCTCATTTACGCATCTGCAAATAGATCGGAACCATTTGTCTCAGCAGATAGGTCACGGGGTCAGATTAACTACCTCTTCGCTCGAAAATAACACTCGCACGTTCACTTTGCATCCCATATGTGTAAGCTCTTTTTGATTCCAAAAATAGAATTTAAATTAATCTCCGTAGAAAAGAAATCTGATGATGACGTTTTTTATTCGCGATATTTTTGTATGTATGAATGAATCTTTTTTTTTACACACGAGAAGACATTTAATTTAGAAAATTATAACAGTATTTATGTGTTTTAGATATTTTTGGCATTTTTGAATTTTTTATTTCTTCTTTTATTCTATTTTTGGTACAGTTGATGTAGGAAAATAGATTCGGATATTGGTAACGCTAATTAATGACGCGATGCACTTGATTAAATTTCAATATCCGGTTTTGTGAAGTTTTTTTATGGATTTTGAATTTTATTTAATTAATTTAAATTTAAATAGTTCAAGAAAATGTTATTTGATTCAAATAAATTAGGTTTGGTTCAAGTAAATTTTATTTAGTTCAAAATTCAAACAAATTTTGATGGTTTAAAAAAAAATTTATTTCGTTCAACTAAACTTTGCTTGGTTCAAGTAAATTTTGTTTATTTCAAATAAATTTTAATAGTTCAAGTAAATTTTATTAAGTTTAAAATTAAAACAAATTTCGATGGTTCAAATAAAATTTTAATTCGTTCAAATAATGTTTGCTTGGTTCAAGGAAAATTTGTTTGGTTTAAGTAAATTTTACTTAGTTCAAATGAATTTTGTTTGGTTCAAGTAAATTTTATTTAGTTCAAAATTGAAATAAATTTTGATTGTTCAAATAAAATTTTTATTTGTTCAAATAAAATTTTTATTCGTTCTAATAAATTTTGATTGTTTCAAGTAAAATTTGTTTGTTTAAATAAAATTTAATTTCGTTGAAACAAATTTTGCTTGGTTCAAGTAAATTATACTTGGTTCAAATAAATTTTCTTTGGTTTACGTAAATTTTTTTACTTTCAAATAAATTTTCTTTGGTTAAAAAATGAATTTTATTTCTTTCAAATAATTTTTTTTTTGTTTCAAGTGAATTTTGTTTGGTGCAAGAAAATTTTTTTTTACTTTAAATAAATTTTAATGATTCAAATAAAATTTTAATTCGTTCAGAAAAATTTTTATTCGCTCTAATAAAGTTTGTTTGTTTTAAATAAATGTTATTTGGTTCAAATAAAATTTTATTTACCTCAAATATAAATTATATTTGGTTTAAATAAAATTTTTCTCTTGTTGACATTTAATTATTTAATTATTATTTAATTATTTTATTATTTTAAATTTAATTAATTTTTATTCGCTCTAATAAAGTTTGTTTGTTTTAAGTAAATGTTATTTGGTTCAAATAAAATTTTATTTACCTCAAATATAAATTATATTTGGTTTAAATAAAATTTTTCTCTTGTTGAAAATATTCAATTTATTTAATTTGAATAAAAATTTCTTGATTCAAGTAAATATTTATTTGATAATAGACAACTAATCAGTTATTTGAACAAGTGTATTTCAGAGAACAGTGTATAATCGTGCAAAGGCATATATTAACCATAATTTGTCTAGTAAATAAATAAAAAGATTAATTAACTCCAAAAATAGTAAAATAATTGACAAAAAGGATAAAATTCGCACTTTTCGACAGTTTATCTTTTACTACGAAAATAGTAAAAGTTATACTTTATTTTCTCCATCGTGTGAACATTCATTCATATACTGAATTCTCCGTGAAAAAAAAATATTCCATAACGACTAAGATTTATAGGATGGGTATTGAAAATTCTTTTTGTATAAACTTTTCTTTTTTGTGCATTATAAACGCAAAATAAAAAAGCAACAAAGTTTTTGCGATTCATTGATAGAATAATAGGGGGAAGGGGGGGGGGTGAATACATGTATATACAGGGGGAAAAACAGTTGAAACGTTGAATATAAAGAGCTGAATATAGTGTTCTTCTATTGTATATTTCTGAGCTCAGCAGCATGTCATGAGAAGCAGGTGCTCATGTCCTTCCTCAACATTTGCACATGCAGAACGCGATTGGATAGTACCGCAAGAGAGCCCTTTCCCTCTTGTTCCAGCGCGCAGGGCTGCCATTGATTTTAGGTTGGTTAGGTCAGGCCAGGCTTTACTTTTTTTCTTTTTATTTTTTGCCTTCCCCCCTCCCCCTGTTCAAGAAGACATATTTCTTCATGATTTCAAAATCCAGGTCGTAAATCGTTTCTCCTAAGTCTGTCTGATGATTTGTGACATTGCAATATTACCTGGGAGATACACAAGGGTCTTACAAATGTTTCCTCCCTTTTCAAAGTTACATATACCTTCCGGTCAAGATATTGACCTAAGGTATTACTGTAGTGAGAGAATATTGTCTTAGGAGACAATAT